CCTTGCTGGGTGTCCGCCACCCCGGTGCCCCAGTCCAGAGAGCGCGTGCAGGACACGCCTGCTGGTGGCGTGGACACGGCCAACCGCTCAGTCCGTGGCGAGGTTCGCTGAGACCCAGGCCCCCAGCACGTCCCCCAAGCCCAGCATGCTGGGCGCGGGGGAGGCCAGCCTGCGTCTGCAGGAGCCCAGAGGGGCACAGCCGGTGCGGAGGGCGGCGGCGCCGGCGCCCTGGCAACAGCGAGGGGTACCCCGCCCAGCTGCCCCACCCTGCGCCTCCCTCTGGGGCTGCGGTGGGGCTTCAGCCTGGCGGGGAGCCAGGGGGACCCCATTTGCCCACAGGAAGCCAGACAAAGCTGCGGGGACCCAGCCCGGCACGCCCAGGCAGGCCGCCGAGGCCCCGCAGCTCTGCGGGTGGGGGTGGGGGGGAAGGGGGGCAGGTGAGCGCTGTCCCTCGGGACCCCGCGGCCACCGCCCTGCGCTCCTGCTGCCCGTGGGGCTTCTGCGCCGTCGCCCCGGCCAAAGGCGGTTAGCCAGTGGGAAGCCTGCTGTCCACTCCTGGTGCAGGGCCCGCACTGGGCGCAGCGAGGACTGGGCGGAGCCCCAAGACTGAGCCTGGGGACCCTCGTCTTTCGGCTGCGAGCAGGTGAGTCTGGTGGCGGCCAGGAGGCCCTAAGAGAGGACCCCGCGCTCCTGCTCGCTCCTCGACCCCTGTGGTGCCCCGGTCCCGCCTGGGCCCCCCTTGCCCCCCTGGGCCCCCGGTGACCCCGTGTCCAGCTCCTCAGTCCTCGACGGCTGCAGAGGCGACTCCACGCATGTCTGTTTTTAATCAGAACCAATCTCAAACTCACGGAAGGCGCTGGGCAGTGGGCGGAGGCCCCCAGGCACCGCCCCTCCAGGCCGCGGGTCCCTCGGAGGCTGAGGCCAGCGGCCATGCAGACCTGCCGGCCACAGGCGCCTCTCGCGTGCGCGGCGTCTGCAGGGCTCTCGCAGCGCGGAGGACTTGCCCCGGCCGCGGCCTGCTGTCGGCTGGCCCGTCCCGCTGTGCCCAAGGGCCCAGGCCGCGCCGGCTGCCGTGGTCGGTGGCTGCCGTGGCCGGTGGCCACGGTCGGTGGCTCGCCCCTGGGCGTGACCCCTCCAGCTGGCGCGGCGGGGCCGCCCGTGGGTGCTCCCGGGAGCGATGCACCCGCGCCCCCCTTGTCCGCGTGGGCCTCTCCGTCCCCCGAGGCTCCTCCAGGGGCGGGTTCTCGGCCCTGCCCACGGCCGGACACCCGCGGCCAGCCGGTCGCTGCCCATGGCTGGACACCCGCGGCGGGAGCGGGACGCCTGACAGACCCGCCCTGGGGCGGAGCTGGGCCGAGGGGGGAGGATCGGCGGCTGCGGACGGGCCTCACCCGGCCAGGCCGGCCGGCCGCAGGGAGGCCAGCCAGAGGCGCCGTGGCCGAGATGGGAAGGACCGCGCAGGGCCTCTGCTGGACGCGGAGGGAAAGGCCCGGGGGGGCCGCAGCCGGCCACAGCCCTGAGCGAGCGGCCAGAGCGTGACCTCCCAGGAGGCTTGGGGAGGGGCAGGAGCAGAATAGAAAGTGGACAAGTCCGACTTCAGGGAAACGGTGGCATCGAAGACCAGTGGGCAGAGAAAAGGCCGCGCCCCGGGAAGGGCGCTTGTTCTCGCTCCAGAGGGCACTGAAGTCGCTGGGGAGGCTGGGCTGGGGCGGGGGTGCGTCGGGCTGGGGGTGCACCTGGGCTGGGGGTGCAGCCACGCTGCCGCTGGCGGGGGGGCAGATGTCGCCCTAACAGCTTCTGCTGGACTTAGCGCTCCCCGCTGGCCAGGAGCTGACTGCTCCCCTGCCGGGCCTTGTGTCCTTTGGCCGAATTCCTGGGTGCTGAGCCCCGAGCACCTGTCCTGCACCCCAGCCTCTGTGTCAACACCTGCCTGGGTCCCCCAGGAGATGCCCGGCCGGGAGGCCGCCACAGCCCCATGGCAGCGAGGGCCCTTGCTGGGCGTCCGCCACCCCGGTGCCCCAGTCCAGAGAGCGCGTGGAGGACACGCCTGCTGGTGGCGTGGACACGGCCAACCGCTCAGTCCGAGGCGGCCCGCCCAGCGGCCAGTGGCTCGGAGGGGCGCAGAGTGGGGCGTGGGGCCTGGGGCTCTCAGGGAGAGAGCCCTGCCACTGCCCACCTGCCCGCCCCAGCCCTGGGCCAGGACGGGGCGACGGGAGGCGGCCTCCCTGGGCTCCCAGGAGCGCGGGGCAGCCCGGGCCTGAGGCGAGCCCGGCCTGCCGGGGGGGGGGGCAGCCAGAACACTGCTGCTCTGCTCTCAGACGGCCACCGCTGACCTGAGCTGGCTGCCCCTGGCGCACAGCAGGCCCCCCGAGTCCGGGGCCCAGACTCCCACCCGAGGGGGAGCGCCTGCCCCAGGGCTCTCCCCTCGGCTCACACTGCTCCCCCAGCAGTACTCTGCGTCCAGCCCGAGCCCCACCGCCGTCCTCCCCACCGGCTCCCGCAGGCTCCTCTCAGTAGGCACCGCGCGGAGCT